TGTCTTGATAAATAACAATATTGATCGCTAAAATTTGTTTTAATGTGATCATAATTTATTCTATTTATGCTGACCTACTTTACAGTTTCTAAGGGAACTGCTTAATATTTGCCTTTTCCCTCTGTGGGAAGTTTAGACCACCGGAACTGAACAACAATGGGCAGGGTGGTATGAGGGTGATTTGTTAGTGTGTGTTTGTATGTGTGTGTGTTTGTATGTGTGTGTGTCTGTTGGGGAGGGGGTTAAGTTATATTTCAAAGGATCTAGTGATAGTCTAAATGGTTCTTCTTCCATTTTTCTTCCCTCAGTCCATGTGTTTATGTTTATGTTTGTCCATCCATTCATATTAGGGCGGCAACAAACCGGTTCCCATATCTGATATCAGTCCAATACTGACTCATATAGCCTATTGGGTATCAGCGACAATGGGCCCAATCAAAGAGATGCTATTCTGTGTTTACAACAAGTACGTGAGCGTATGTCACTGTTATTAGTGAGTTGGTAGGCCGGTGCATCAGAGCCAACATGGAACGTGACTCTACAGAAAAAAGCAACTACATCAAAATATGTGATGTGAATCTCAGGTCTTATCTCCCTCCAATAGTGGCAATCACAGGGAAACTCGCGACACATCGTTATTTGGTGTCAGTGTCACTTTTTATCCGATTCACTTTTCACTGCTGTCCAACACTATCCCCCTATCTTCTTCTTCTGTTTCCTGCTTTCAACCTCTCCTTCCAATTAACATCTAACCATGTTTCCTATATTCATGCCATGAGCGCCATCGTGAGGAGTCATAAAAAATAAAGCGGAGAGTCAAATCATTTGTTGATAATTGTATTGCACGAGTGCAGCTGATGATATATTGCCGTATTGATATTTGATCCCATCCCTAATCAGGCCGTTTTAGATTCATATCAGATGCTTTTCATTTTCTCTTTGGGTTATTCTGTTTTTTATTTTTAAGGCAGTAAAAAAAAGATAAATGAGTCGCCATTGACCACCATTAGTCACCCTTCACATAATTTTCACCTCATACCACAAAAACAGCAGAACCTCTGAGCTGCTGCTATTTCAGTGCCAATTTCTCTGTAAGTCATTTCCTGTCCGGAGGGTTTTTTCCCTACCAGTGACCATATAAACACCAGAATAGAAGTCTATTTAGGAGAACACATGAACACTCCAAAGATCATACGACGAAGCAGGATGTAGAGAAGTGGTGATGATTCCCCTTACATGGACCCAAAGAGCGCTACTAAAAGCTTATAAAAACCCTGAAAAGTATTTGTATTTTCTCATAATAATCCTGATGTACATATTCTATAACTATATGTAAAAGGGAAAACACACACACAGACAAACACACACACACACACACACACACAGTGGCTGGAGGGAAAGCATGCTAGCGGAGAGATAAGCCTCTTTTGTTAGCTGGTTGACACTTAAGCACCATTAATTAGACCGGGCCACAGGAAACAGGTCAATGACCTAACCAATGAAGTGTGTGTGTGTGTGTGTGTGTGTTTGTGTGTGTTAAGATCTGGGTATGTGCGTCTGTGTTACAAAGAGCATTACAAAGGGTTCCTCACTTTCTCACATTTCCAAACAGATTTCAAAGAGAAGCGATTTGAAGCTGTGTTTTTGATTTTAGCTTTGAACTTCGATCTGCTCCGTTTTTCCAGAGTTTAAACCTGGAGCCTTTTTTAAAATGTATTAAATGGCCTTAATGACTTAAAAGTTAGAACTTTTACCAGGTGATTGCCCAGCCAGCAGCAATGAAACATGCTTTAAAGCCTGCAACATATCGCTCTTTTCAGGCTCCTTTTTCCACAATGCATATGCTGCTCTATACGATTATTCTTTTCAAGTGCTTTTTGAAGTTTTAAGGGTGTTGGGTATGGGCATCTTAAGAACTTAAAGTTAATCATATATACTGATTCTGTGATTTTCTATATTTCACAGACTCAATGAAGGCGTATGAATGTTGGCATTCTGTGGAAGTTTATGCCGGGTTTTTCTCTCCCTGCGTCCCCCCAGCTCTCTGTTACATAAACAAGAAATCTTTGGCTCAACACTGACCTCTTGGTTGGGCAATTAACACACACACACACACACACACACACACACACACACACACACACACACACACACACACACACACACACACACACACACCCATTTCATTTGAGACTAAAATTTTAGACCCCCCACAGACAGCAAGTCAAGGTTGTGCACTGTGAGAGCCAGTCTCATGTGTGTGTGTGTGTATGTGTGTATATGTGTTTCCTAATTGGAATGCATTTGTTCGTGCAATCACAGACGTCTGTGGAATTTGAGCTGATATGAAAATAATTGCTGGACTTTGGCTCGCTCATACGTTCGTAACGAGCGTTGTGTTTTCACAGAGTCAGAAGTGAAACACAAGCTGCTTCAGTGTTTGTTACAACCTGTTCACAGGATGTTTTTATGTTTTTCACTCAGTCTGCCTTTTACTGACTGCTAAAGTTACCGCTGGTGTCAGCTCGTGTGTTATCAATGCTTTAAAAAGTGTGTGGACCTCCATTCAGTCCTGAGATTGGCTTGAGCTGCCCCCCCCCCCCCCCTCCCCATTTTCATTGGCTTGTCCAAGTACTCCTTAAGTGTGTGTTGTCAATTTGATTATTTTACTGATCGAGACGGAGCCTCCGGGATCTGGAATCATAAATATCAAACAATAGATTTTTATGATTCCAGATCGGGCTGTCTCTGATGGAATAGCCAATCAAAGCAGACCGGAAAGAGTCACCAACAAAATGTTACAGTAAGGACTTTTACGGCTCACAAACATGGCAGCGAACACAACACCACTTTGTCCCGAGCCAAAGAGGATTATTGAAAAAGAAGAGCAGCTTGTGGAATTATGGAAACAACACAAGAGGCTTCATGAAATGATTCATGAATGATGACATACTTTTGTCAGCAATTTTGTTTCGTTTTTTACTGTCATTATAAAAAAAATATTTTTGGGGAAACATCCTTTAAAAACACTTGTAAAATTGAATAATCCTTGAATCCATTTCATTCTCTCATTTACAGGAGCTGAAAGACAAGCTTGACCTCTTCTAACATCTTAACGTTGACTTTATAAACAACCACATGGGAGAACATTTCTCTTTGCTTTTTGTCTGAACTATGGAAGCCCTGAGCGGACATGCACCAAAAGTGAGTTTGTTTGAAATAATTAGTTTGTCTGAATGACCTCAGCTCCATGTTGTTTCCTCTAAAACCTCCTCAGTTTAATCCAAACAGAGGAGAACAGTCCATTCAGGTTTTCTGTGTGTGTGTGTGTGTGTGTGTGTGTGTGTGTGTTTGTGAGTGTGTGTGTGTGTTTCTTGTAATACTTTGGAATGCCGGCCATGCTGAAGGATTTCGTATCCCTTAAATATCACAGTGGTCTCACACACACACACACACACACACACACACACACACACACACACACACACTCATTCTTCAGTATAACAGAGTCTTGGCAACTTGGAAAATAGAGAGAAACCCCCTGCTTAGCGTGACTTTTCATGTGTGTGTGTGTGTGTGTGTGTGTGTGTGTGTGTGTGTGTGTGTGTGTGTGTGTGTGTGTGTGTGTGTGTGTGTGTGTGTGTGTGTGTGTGTGTGTGTGTTCGCCCCACAGCCTAAGGCCTGTTGTATTACCCTGTCTCTTCATCTGAACTTGCTCATGCTGCGCTCTGGCTTCACCATCGCAGCCCTGACTGTCCAACTTTGTAATAATAATCTCTGAAATGTCCATAAAACACGGGAGACATTTTGGTCGTTTCATAAAATGTGAAGGAGGCCAAACAATATCAGATGAACATAAAACAAGTCTAAATATTCAAAGTTAATGTCTGTTCTTACGTTCTGACACAGAGTTATTTCTCAGTGACAAAGATGGCGCTGCGAAAGGTCTCCTCTGTACATACTGTACTCTCTTGTTAACATAAACTGTTTTGTCAGTAGCTTTAAGGAAGCTGCGGCTATTGGAAGAGAATTGGCTCTTCTGCAAACACATTACACAATTACATTACTGAAGAAATTCAAGAGCCATCTCAGACATATTTCCAAATTTGGAGTAATATCATGAGTTAGAGGCGCTCCCATGAGCTCAGTCGTTTGGTGAGGTGGTTTAAGAACTTGAACTGAGCTGTTTTAAGGCAGTTTTAGTTTTTTTGGTTCATATTATCGCAGGTCTTAGTCTTGTCTTGTGCAAATTGTGTTGCTCAATGTTGTGACTGTTTTCAACAACCAATATGAACGGTCTAGCCAGCACCAAAGAGGAAGCTGCAAACTAGTAAACAGGACTGCGAAGCAAAGGAACGTGTTCTCCTGTGGAAATTAAGGAGAAACTTCTCCACTCTATACCACGGTGGAGTCGTGGGCAGAAATTGCTGAAGCTCTCAAATTCCCGCTTAATTAACTAGTTTGATATATCATAACCAGGGACATCTCTGTGACAACCGGGTATCTAAATGATTATTTTCTGGATTCTGAGGGCGGCAGCGATTTCTGCCCACGACTAAAAAAAAAAAAAAAAAAAAACAAGACATGAAAGAGGCATTCCTCCTCTCTTTCCATTTTACACTTATGAATTGTACATTTCCACCATGGACATGATGCAACAATATGTGAGAGTGTCAGACATAGTCTTTTGAGTCTTTTAAAAAGAATGCTTCAGTGTATAAAGAAGGTATGAGTGTTAAAATATAAAATCTTAGAAAGTGCTGACAGACAGAATACAATCCTTGGAATAAATTATGATGAACCCTGTTTGCCATTTTTTTGTGTGATGTGACTTATTTGGGAACAGCCGATCATAACCTTTCAGCATAGGAAGTTCAATGCCTCAATTTTCAATAGGCCTACATTCCAGTTAACTGTCGATAGAGGGCAGTAGAAAGTATGGATGACTTTCTGCACCTTGTGTGGCTGTTCTTTTAACAGTGGCCAGTTGTGGTCTTTTATTTTGAAGGCAGGTCGTCCGGTTTTCCTGTGATTTTGCGCTTTAACGGTCCGGACGAGACACCGGATTTATGTGTTTCCATATGACCGGACTTTCATTCACAGCGGGGCTCACAAAACACACGCTGCTGTCTGTGAGTGGAGTACCAGACCGAGAGAGAGAGAGAGAAAGAGAGAGAGAGAGAGAGAGAGAGAGAGAGAGAGAGAGAGAGAGAGAGTCCAGATGAAAGTGTGTGATCTGCTGCAGGAGAAGGAGAGGGGAGCGCGCGCACCGGGGAGGGTTTTTTAAATTTTTATGGTTCTCGGATCATAAACTCTCGCGGACTTTATAAACATGCACCTTCTGGGATTATCTCTCTCACTGGCTTATCTCCTGTACTCAAACCTCGCCAGCGACTTCAGCCACAGAGAATATTATGATTACTACGAGCACGAGCAGATGGACGAGCCGGTGAGTGTTTTAGGAAACATGATCTGAAACTTGTCTGATCTGAACCTGGCTGCGTATTCACCTGATTCTGTGAGTGAGAGGCTGCAGGGACCAGCGCTTGATTTGAATGTTTGCTGGAGAAATGTAGGCCAGCTCTAGTTTATTTTAGTGTAGTTTTAGGGGGGTCTAGATTGACGAAAACCCTGATGAATACCTGTTTCATATTTTAGCTCACAGGTGATGGAGGGGGGATACCATGATGTGGTTATTTTACCATTATTTGTTGTGCTTTTTTTTTCACGGGGAGTTTGGTTTGATATCACCGTTGTCCATCACTGCAAATTGAAGTGAAATTAGGAGAATATCAGGAGTGAAGGAAGGAGAGATTGTGGATGCATCCATCCCATTGAGCAGTTGTGAGGATTATGATTTCACCTGAGTTTCACTTTGTTTTCACAGGGGTTCTTCATCTTAAAACCAAGTTTAACATAAAAAAAAGTCGAAGCTGAAATAAGACAGTCAGAATTGGATAGTTGAGCTTTTGCAACTCATGAACCCACATGCTGAAGGTGGAATAAAATCCCATCATATTCATATGGAAAATAGGTCCTCGAAAATGTGTTTATAACCACATGCTGCAACAATTACCTGAAAGACATTTAAAAACCCTCACAAATAATATTTTAATATTAAGGTAGCCTAATATGTGCATACGTGTCAATATCAGCTCAAATGTGGGACACAAAAAATATTTAAAAAAGTTACTCAAACTTACAGAAAATATAATGCAGAAAACAATGCTGAATTTGACTTGACGTCATTATGTAGTTCATCCAGCAGAGGGCATCCTAACTCCAATTTGATACCACACCTTTTTTTTAAACGATACAATCATCGGTATTTTAATGAACAATAGTATCGAAAAGTATGAAGCTTAAAAAAAGTTCTTCAGTCATATTTTTCAACCAACAGCTGCTGCAAGCGAAAGAGAGAGAGCAATGTCTAAATTGCACAAATTCATTGGCAACGTTCCAGTAACGAAACAATGCCAAATATTTGTGCAATTTAAACGGTCTGCAGGAATATGCCTGCATTTTTGTTGCTGTGGTTTCAAAATAGGTATCGATATCATTTTATCTTATAATTCTTTTGATGTTTAAAATTGCGATATCTTAACGGCCCAATAGCTGCGAGTAAAAACAAATCCGTATTCGTTGTTATCCTGTTAGACATTTGCAGTGTGTTTATTTTACTGTGCATGTAGGTTTTAAAAGTCCTGATTAAATTGGATTTATTTAGCCGGCTTTATCTCAAACTGGAAGCTTGTGTCAAGAAGGATGTGGTCTTTGAGAGGGCTGTTAGGTAAAGTGGAAGTTGCTTTTTATTTACATTGTGGAACTTTTAGGATCAAGCTTTTTTGGAAGGTATTAATGAGGTAATAGTTTCACATATGGACAGTTAGTTTCAAGCGATTTTTAACATTAGAATCCTCAGAACGCGCACGCTGGACTCACACACCTGCAGTTTTATCGTTACCATTTCCCAGTGGCGATTCCCACAGACACAGACACGAGATCTCACAGAAACTTGTGTGATCAAACGTGACTACAGAAGTTGACGTACATGGTTCTGCATCGCTGCAGTGACAGAATATACATTATTTTTGGGTTCTGACCCTACTTGTAGACTTTCCGGCCATGGCTAGACAAGTATTTCATTTATTCATTTTTGTAGAGACATTTAGGGCTTGTGACGCCTTTCATACCTCAGTTTCAGAGCGCTTCTCACCGACGCTTATTGTTGCTAGGTTACGTCAGTTAACCCCCACTTCCCTCAGTAATGCCCATTTGGTTAGTTTTATAGCTCTGTGTGATTAATATTCGTTTTTATTTAAGGGAATCTCACCAAGAAAACATGAAAAAAATGCAAATGAATCGTGTCCATCAACCGCACAGACAAAATGTTAGTTAATGCAGACAAATACCCGATAAAACTCTGAAGAAGTTGTACAGTTCCCTTGTTTGTGTTTGTGTGTGTGTGTGTGTGTGTGTGTGTGTGTGTGTGTGTGTGTGTGTGTGTGTGTGTTTGTTTGTATAGTGTGTGTGTGTGTGTGTGTGTGTGTGTGTGTGTGTGTGTGTTTGTTTGTATAGTGTGTGTGTGTGTGTGTGTGTGTGTGTGTGTGTTTGGTGCATTAAAGTCAAAAAGAAGATTTGTCTCGGTGCATTTTCCTAACAGATCATAATCGTTTGTTTCGGTGTTCAGGATATCAGATTTTTCTGCTGACTTTGACAATCTGAGATGTCAGAAAAAGATGCAAAAAGTCTGTGTCTATGTTTCACATTATTAACTTTCCGCTTCACACACTGACGGGGCTGAGCTGGTCATTATCCTACTGCCAAGTTTTATAACAAGATTTGGATTGATTCACCATTGAAAACACACTTTTCTTTAATGTCATGCCAGCAGAGCAGATTTAAATTGACCTGAACTGCTAAAGAAAGTGGGCGAGAGAGGAAGGAAAACAGAAAGGGGGGGGGGGGACTGAACATTTTCCAGGGGGAGGATTAGGAGGGAGGGTTTTCAAATTAGCCAGAGAAAAGAGCCAATGAAGGCAGGTGTCACTGGGGTCAAGTGTGTGTGTGTGTGTGTGTGTGTGTGTGTGTGTGTGTCTGTGTGTGTGTGTGTGTGTGTGTGTGTGTGTGTGTGTGTGTGTGTGTGTGTGTGTGTGTGTGTGAGTGAGGGGGAATAAGTGCTAAGCAGTAACATGCTGCCATTTGATCTCAGTAAACTCTTAATTGGGATGATGAGTATTTCTCACAGCTCCCGTCTTCCTCCTTTAAAGCTCTCACAGTTTGTTTTTCCGAGGAATTTATCTGATAGCATCTCATCTCTGCTCGCATGTGTCAAAGGATTAAAGCAAAAACCATAATGATTTTTACTTCTGCATGCTGGAAATGGTGCATAAAATTAGTTTTAACACATTTGAATTGTTTTGTTTCATAAAAAAATACTAAAAAGTTGTGTTTCATATTACTTAGCCATCTGCAGAAAAGAGTCTCAGGATCAAGCCATTTCCTGGTTGATCCATACATACACACAACTACACATACACACACACACACCTGCACCTCTTCTCTCTAAATACAGCGGTGTGATCCGCTTCGTCTCTTTCCATTTCTCTTTGCCTGGTTTTGCTGTATTGACAGAAGCTTAATCATTAGCAGCATGTTTTACGAAGACTTATTCCACAGTAATTCTGTAAATGTTCTTTTTCGATATTCCGTTTCGATATTTCATTTCTAGCGCTATGTAAGGCAATGATACAAAACTTAAGATTGCAGAGAGAAACAAAATCACAAGAATGAGACCTCACAGCTCAATCAAGGGACTTACAAGCGGACGTCTCTGTCTCCCTCTGATCTGCAGATCAGGTGTCAAAGCGACCTCCCACACATTACCGAGGGTTGGAGGGCGAGGACTGTACATTAGTGTATCGATTGTGATTGTCCAACTTATAGATATTAGAAACGGTAAAATGGTCGGCAAATATTGTCCATGTAGCCTATTGGAAACACAATATCTCATGTGTCATTATACATTTTTTATGATTTTTTAAATGTTTATTTGCAACATGTCCCGCCTGACATTTTGAATGTTGGTATTTAACTGACGGACAGATGCACCTGATTCCGGCCGAAAGCTGGTAAACACTGGCTAACGTAAACCCTGGTTCAAACCATAGACTTTAAATATTAACGGACAAAGCCTGAGTGACGTCACTCATCTGTTACTGCAGGGGGCTTCGGTCTCATTTGTCACATTATGATTTTAGTTATTCTGTTAGCTGTTTCTGATGTATGGTAAAATAATAAACAAGACTTAAATATATGCATAGTACTGAATAACCAGATATCAGTGATGCATGTTTTATATATAAACACTTCACAACAGTGACAAAGGAGTTTAACCCTTTCAAAACAAATCTTGTTACTGCACAGTGTCAGTCCTCCTCCTCTCTCCTCGTTCAGTCAGCACTGAAGTGAACAGAGTTTCTGCACATAATTTGCACTACAGGGTCTCTTTTGTATGAACGCAGGGGTGATCTTTGAACTCTGATCTATATATTTGAACTATTTGTAGACATGATTCGATTAACTCAATATACAGTAAATGTGAATGTGAGCTCAGCTGTATTTTGTACCTGAGCGTGACGAGATGAATCTACAGCTGCTGCCACTAGCTGTGTGCGGGGCATTATGATGGGTGACTGCAACATCTCGGATACAGTTCATACTGTTGTGTTGAAGAAAACGCTTTATCATTTTAAAAAGTGCTTCCTTACCTGCATGAAATGTCTTTGCTGAACGTGTTTGACTTTGTTGTGTCATTATCTTTTCAGTGTAGCTTAGTCAAACTTTTGATGACTTGCTGGGGTCCGCCATGATCCTCTGATCGCAGCTTTATTAACACACTGCATCACAAATAACAGAATGTTACGTTGGGACAGCAGGTCCTGGCAGATGTAGTACATCTTTTATGGACAGAAAAATTCTCACCAAGGTTAAATCCTGAAGGTCTACTCACTCTGGTGCAGTCATGGCATTAAATTCGTTTTTATAGCATGAAGTAACTAATTTAAGAGTAACTTTAAACACATATCAGAGTGATGATAACTATCGCAACATAACAGAGTTAAAAGGATTACTTTTAGTTGTAGTTTGATTTTCCAGTTTGGCCAGTATGTCTTCTGTTAACATGGAGGAGGCGGGATTTATGACCAATACTGCAACCAGTCAGCAGGGGGAGCGCTAAATGTCTGGCTTCCCTTCAGGGTCATTGTGCTGTCCATTATCTATACAGTTATGTTGTCACCATTGGGGGACATTTTCTAACAGTGTACAGTCTGCCTTGTTCTCTGAGCTTTAAATGTGTAAACTGTTGTGAATATTTCAGCCTCAGGCAGATACGTGTGGAGCATTGGAATCATTTTGGATGTGTTTTGAGTGAAAAATGAATCAGTG